TGCATATTGGACTTGGGCTTTATTTGTGCAGATTTAGTTCTGATGCACTTAATGTGACAGTTGAGAGGGATTTGTCTTTACAAACCTTTCATAGCGAGTGAGTTGCATGGCGTGTGTGCTTCACTCATGAATAATCTGATACCACCTCACTGCATATAAATAGTACATAGAAATATATAGTACACAGAAGAATATTCAGTTATTTGAGAAGATGAGTGAAATTGTCAGAAGACTGGAAACCACACTGCACTTTAAACCTTTCTGAGGTGTAACCTCTTAGCAGTGGGGAATCTTGACAATGGTATTGGGATAATAACGTTTGTAATCAACTACTTTTAGAAACTAAATTCCTAACACTTCTCTGTGCTTCATCTCAGTGTAAAGAGGGATGTGGAAATTTCTCCATCTTAGCAAAAGGAAGCTGTGATGGCCAGTAGCTCTATTTTGGGTGGCAGATTTGCTGTCTGGAATGTTTTCCTAGCCTTTGCAACTTAACATCGTTCAGTAGCTGAATGGGTCTTACTTCTGTGAGGTATTGGTAGCTTAGGGATCGTTTAAGCTGTGCTGTCTTCTCCTTCTGCCTCACCTGCCCATTCACTTCATCTGCATCTTCACATATGTGATGTGATGTCCATTTGATGTGGTACAACTGTTATGTGCTGGAGCCATACAGAACTACTTGTGCAGGTCTTCTTTTGGTTTTCTAATGGTGACTGTCAAGCAGCAATAAAATTAAAAGATGCAAATCATTTTTGAGGGACCTGAGAACTTCTTGTCTCCCCAGCAAAAGAAATACATAGTTGTATATTACTTTTTTTTTTCCAAATTGTGTGTGTTCTTTAACATGAATTTTACACAAACTATTGCATCCGCAAACTTAAATCTTAGATAAATCCTAACTTTGCTTTTGAAACTGAGAATCTACGAGCACTGTTTTTTCTTTCACTAGCAGAAGTATTTCAGGTTCCATAGCCTTTGATTGTGATGTATCTTTTCCTTTTTGAGAGGGGACTATTGTTGACTGAATTGCTGTCTAGATTCACTCTCAGCAGACTGGAAATAAAGCTTCTGCTGAATCAAGTCTCTTCCAAAGAACTGCTTAGAAAGTTGAGGCCAGACCTAGGAATTACTTTCTCTGATGCATTGAATGCTATAAGCATTGTGAAGACAATGACAAATGTCTCGGTTTTGAATCATGTAATTGCATGTTTTTCCTTCTGAAGTAATAACATCTTTAAGGAGTTAGACTGAAACCTTCTGTTTCCCCACTCTCTGCCACAGGCTCGACTTTATATTCTGAGTAGTTGATTTAGGCCAAGATTTTTTTTTGAGGTGGCCAAAAACTGCTACAGTTAATGGAACTTGTTAATGTAACGTGTGAAACTAGTTTCACACTATTATCAACTTCCAAGTACCTTGGGGTCAGTAGCTTTTCCTAAAAGCAGAAGGAATTTTGAGTACCCTGCTTTTTTTTTTTCTCTTCTTGCCTTCCTTCATCATAATTATTTTTAAAAAGTTTAATATCTTTATCTTATTAATTTTTTAATTTCTGGTTCGTCATTGAAAATCTAGGCTAGTATTTGGCAGCTGTACTTGGCAAAGAAGAGAAAAATCTGAACATCTTCATTCTGGTTCTTATGCTGTGTTATATAAATGCATCCTTGAGTATGCATGTGAGCTGGAAGCCTCTAGCTCTGGTACATCACCCAGCTGATGGCAGGAGGAGGAAGGGATATGTAGAACATCTTCACTAAAAGAAGCCATGTCTTCAGTAAGTCAGAAAAATGGAAACATAAGACTTAGGGTGTGGGTTTTTAGTTTATATCCCTTTATTCAGGAAGGAAGCCACTGTTGTAGTAGCAACATATTTGTAAGTAGAAACTGGCATTTGATTTGCAAAGTGTACAAGTAAGCTTTGTGGTTGTGAGGCCAAGACTGCAAATGCCAGGACTTAGGCAAGTACATGACTTTTTGTGTGAGAGCTTTCTGTAGGAGGAGTAATACTGGCAAAATTTGTGCTTCCTGTTTGTAAGTAACTTTGTTATGTATCACATCATGAAAATACATCACACTTACCATTACCTGAAATAAAGGGGCTATGAAATACATTGCCATGAGTTTCACAACTGTTTCAGTTATTAACTGCTACTTGATGAGCTACCAACATTAATATATTTGGATTGATGCTGGTGGCATGTTAAATTTAACCGTGGAATATTTAAAAGACCTGAATGGCTTAGAAGGTAAAATAACGTAGTGGATGAAGTGTTTGGTGTCTTGGCTTGGATCCAGCTTGATGTCCTAAATGAATGCATCATGAAACCACAACAGATCAACCCAGATTTACATGAGTGATGTATAAGAGCCCTGAAGCTAAACCAACATAGTGATTGAATTAGCTCCTGCGTTTAGAGAGGCTTCTCCCTCCAGGTCAGACTTCTAAGCACTCGTGGGCTTGTGTATGGAACTAGCAGTCATAGATTGAAGTATGCCTATGTTGTGGAAGGAAAGAAATCTTAGAACTTCAGACCTTTTTACCTTTGACAAGTGTGACTGATTTCTTTTAGGGAGTGGAAGAAAAGGAGGAACATTATGAACAATAATGGAAAAACTGGAAGAATTTCCATTAGTGGTGCTTCAGTCAAGGACCTGCCAATCTTATCTGAAATATCTGTTCAAAATCTGAAACATTTTGTTGCTGCAGGGCTGATATGTACCTTATGCATTGCCCATCCTCATACAATACCTGGCTTGTTCTTTTTAGTAAATTACTGTACTGTAGTGTGGTTCTCATATATAGAATGGTTTTGCAAACATTTGTGTGTGCAAGCACAAAAGTACAGGATTTAATCTTTTCTCTAAATAGCTTATTTTTAAAAATTTTTGTCTTAATTTAATAAACTTATATTACAGGTAAATGTCTGATTAAAGACAAGACATAATGGATGAACAGAAGTGTTACTTCATTTGAGTACTCACTGTTTAATATAGTTTTGTTTTCACATGATTCAAAGAAATAGTTGTAAAACAAAAAAAGGTGAACAGTGTCTTATTCTAGGTATTTGTGTCATGCTAAAGATGTTGCAAAGAGATGCTGTAGACCTTTTAAAAATATGTTCTATAATTTGTCTTTAGCTGGTACCACCATGTAAGATATTGATATGTTCAGGCAACTGTTTTACTACTGTTAGTATTGTTTGCAGTTCTTATTTATGTGTGCTTTGATATTTCAGTAACCTGATATCTCCATTTTTGTTTCCCAGCATGATGTATCACAGACTTTGCTCAAAGCAACTCTGGACAGTGTGGTTGAAGAGTGTGTCAGCTTTGTAGGAGTTGATATTAACATCTGCTCAGAAATACTATTAAGGTGAGTCAAACATTTTCCTATTCCAGTAATTACATGGCTGTGGATCACAGAGTCTCTGTTTAGTCTGCCATCTGACTCAACCTCAGCTGGAGCAAATGGCTCTTGTGTTAAACTTCCAACTACATGTAAACGACACATTAAGACAGGATTTCACTAGATCATTATGGGTCACTTTTTAAGGGTATTTGTGATTCTCCAGGGTAAAACTATTCTTGGAGAAAAACGTATTTAAAAATTTTGAGCCAACACTGCAAATTTAGAAAATTTGTTATAATTAATTTGTGTTTTTACACTGAGAAAGGGATTTTCAAATGTGCTTTCTGTCTCTTAGAAGGTATTTTTATAGGTTCTGCTAAGTGGACCAAGTTGTAAAAGTTGGGTGAGGAAAGGAGAAAAGGAAAGATTTAAGGGGAAACTGCTGAAAAATTTATCCCTTTTCAATGACTTTTCAAAAGTAACTATGCCATATTTACTTGGAAAATGTTCTGGATTTTATTTCTCTTGGTTAGAAATTAAAGCTTATTCTCTCTGAGTGTGTAGAATTCAGAATTGTTTAGCTGGACAGCCTCTTAGAAGAGCAAAAGTGTTGCTGTCATATTCTGTAGTTAGGAGGGGAAGAAAATGAATGTACAATATATTGGTATTGACAATTATATTAGGTATCAGAGTTAGGAGAAATTTATTTTTGCTAGCTCTATCTTTAATTTTTTAACCTCTTATAATTCTTGAAAATGTCTTTCCATATTTTCAAAGAGGCTCTCTTTCTACTCTTTTTTTTTCCACTTTCTCTTCCATATTCTTTTTCTGTGTATCCAGTCCTTAGCTTGACTCCTGATGTACCTTCTGTCTTTCCTTCTTTAAGATGTTTTTCAAAGAGGCTCTCTTTCTACTCTTTTTTTTTTTCCATTTTCTCTTCCATATTCTTTTTCTGTGCATCCAGACTCCTGATGTACCTTCTGTCTTTCCTTCTTTAAGATGTAGATCAACCATTAGTAGGAAATCATGTATCTATTGGTAAATGAGGCAGACTAGCTAACATTCATTCTATGAATAAAATCCTACCTGAACAAGTGTGGTAAACACTGTCAGTGTTCTGCAGGGTACAGCTGTGTTGTGCAGTTGAGCAGAAGGCAGCAGGCTGAGGCACGACTGTGTCTCCACAAAGCTAGGAACATGGAGTGATGCTCTCATAGTCACAGTTGGTAACCATGTTGGCTAAGTAGTCTAATTAACATGGCTTATGATGCTGGTATCCATGTGCTGCATTGAGTTCTGGATCTAACTTGATCCTCAGTACTTCAGTTCTGCTGTTTTTGTGTAGACACAGTCTGTTTCCCTTAGATGTATGGTGTATGAAATTTTCACCTTAGCTAGAATATACCATGAACAGGGCTTTCTGCTCATGCTTTCTGTTGCATCAAATACACTTCTTGACATACATTCTGTGTAGGAGGGGTGATGACAGTGTTACAGTACTTGCATTACTTCTGAGTATCATACTTGAAGGACTTGAGATCATCAGTGGAAAGTTCTGTGAACTCTGTGCCATGTTCCTTCATCAGTGTAAATAACTTGGATTTCATAAAATTTCTGAGAATTTTTTTGAGAAATATCCATTCCGAATAATTAATATTTTGGCTGTGATTAATGGTGTTTGGATTATTTTTTAGCTTTTTCTCAAGGATGAGAATAATGCCAAGTTTTTTGGGGTTTTTTTTTTTTCCTTTGATTTCCCACTACCCCTAATTTTTTACTATTCTTGCCAGATTTTCTGATAATTTTTTCTAGAATCAGTCTGTACTGTTCTACAAACAGGTCTTAAAGCAGTGACATCTGATATGCAGAGCCATACTGGTGACATTTCCTTCACTAGTGCCATGAGTAACTGTCCACCACAGCTCTTCTCCCTCTTTCTGTGATTAACATACTCCATATGCAGAAAGCTGTACTCACATGTACATGCAGAATATGTGCAGCAATCCCATTTCTTCCCAAAGCAACTTGGCCAACTGCAGTTGCACTTCACAGGTAAGTTGTTTGCCAGAGCTGAGCTGCCCTCAGAACAACTCATGCAGCCTGTTCCCAGCTGCTCTTTTGTCTCACGAGCAGCTGAGAGAAAAGGAACAAGCTGTGTAGATCTGTTAAATTGTGTGAGGAAGGCAAGCTGCTCTCAGCCACTTTCCTTCTGGATAGCAGACATCAGCCCTTCACGTTGGGGTGAGGTGTTGTGGTACTATTGGAAGAGAATAGCTGAGAGTGGGTTATTCTCACAGGAACCATTTATCTGTCTTGAACCCTCCTCCCACGTTGTTTCCTGAAGAGGGCAGCTGGGGGCAGGCCATAAGACATGACAAATTGAATTGGCATTACAGAAATAGCCAACAGACCATAAATTACACGTCCCTGGCTTACTAGTTAGGTATGTGCAGAACTGTATTGCTGTACCAAGTTTTGTTGACTTGAGTGGATTCCTTCCATAGAGCCATGAGAAGGGATCCTTTTGGTCTGGGAGTCAATTTGCAAATTTCTCAGCTGTTTTTAACTATTGTAAACTACGTTTTTGACTGTAATATGTATCCGTGTAATGGATAGCACTTATTAATGCCTGTACAGTGGTAATAAATGAATTCTCTGAACCTTTCTCTTAGACACATTGCAGGACTGAACGCTAACAGGGCTAAAAATATAATTGAATGGCGAGAGAAGAATGGGCCGTTTATAAATCGAGAACAGCTCAAAGAAGTTAAAGGTCTGGGTCCCAAAACCTTCCAACAGTGTGCTGGCTTCATCAGATTCAATCAAGAATATATAAGAAACTTTTGCAGGTAATAGAGATGTTAGCTATCTTGACTAAATTATCTGAAATAGCATAAGAAGACTTTTTGCCTGTTTCTGTTTTGTATTCAGGCTTAAGACTTGAGGAATCCTTGGCACTCTGAAAAACAGAATCTTAACAAATAAACTTCTTGTAGGCGATGGTTGAAGATTGTTCTTCCTTTGAATTATTATGGCTCATTAGCCTAGTACTCTTAAGTCAGGATTTCAATTGGTATGTAAGTATAATTACAAATTCTGCCACTGAACTGGTAGAAGAAATTTGGCATGTGGCATTTTACTGTAGTAAAGATTACCCTGCAGAATGTAAAGGTTGTAAACTGTAGTTTATTTGCAGAGAGTTTAAATTCCATTACTTGGAGGGAGAAAGTTGAATAGCTGCCTGGATCAAACTCTGCCTGTGTTATACTGCTGTGCCTAGCAAGCGTGGTGTGACTGCCTTCTGTCTCAAATACATGAAGCCCTTTCCCAAGTCCAGTTTGTCAACAGCGGATCATCCTTTTCCCTGCCATCCCATTCCCTATTTCTGTACCAAGCCATTCCCTCTTGCAACCATTTGTTGTGCTCCTCTTGACCTGAAATGTTTCCTCTCCACAGCTGAAAGCGCCCTTTCTAGGGCAAAGTCTCTTCTCCTGCCTTTCCTTCCAATGTAAAGAACTAAGAAAGGGCACAGTGGTAGCACCATCCCCACCCTTTTGCCACTGACTCTTCTCAAAAAATATTTTCCTGGGAAGAACATGCTATTTTTTTAGCCAGCTCAATGCTCAGAAGCAATACTGTATTCCCAGTTGCTGCTGGCCAAACAGCACACGCGTAACTTCCAGGCAGGAGGTAGGCACATTAGGACTGGCTTACTGCCCAGGTGGAAGGTATACAGATTGGTTGCCCATCTGGCAGGGAGGCACATGCTGCATGCCAAATGGTGTGCACTGTAAGCACCAGAAGACCAAAGAAATTGTTTTCAAGGCTGTAGATGATCGATAGGTCTTATGTTGTACAGAGCTGTACTAGGGAATGTGGCAATACAAGAGAGGTGGAAAAAGCTGACGCCTTTTTTCTTTCCCCAAAAACATTAACTGGTGAAATGTTTTGGAACATTATATTATTTTTCTTTATTTCTGGAGCATGCTTCTGATGTTAGTCAGATTCCATAAAACTTGAGAACACTGTATAACCTGAGAAATCTGCTATAACTTTGGTGTTTGAGGCCAAAATAAAGCTCTAGAACCATCTCCTCCACATTTCTTGTGGGCCCAGGTTGCAAAATCAAACATTTTTGAAGTTAATTTCAAGAAGGTTTCAATTTTGTGCTCTGTAATCATATTGATGGCTGTAGGGTGCTGTGTGAATTAGATTTTGTGCTTTGTACTTGGAAGTTAGCAAATAGTGGTTATTTTAAAAATTGATTTGGAAAAAGAAAGTTATGTCTGCATCTCTGTGACAGTTGACGTGTAGGTAGAACCCAAAGTGCAAGTGGTAGTTCTGGGTCCTTCAGTGTGTCCTCTTCTGTCCTGCAAAAGCAGGAACCACTTGTGATTTAGGAAACAAAAACAAACAAAAAAAGAGGCAAGAAGGGAGCCTTTGCCTGTAGGAGTAATTTGTTGCCTTTAATGTATCCTGAGTGGTTCTTTTACTTAAGGGAAACTTTAGGGGAAGATGGGTGTCAATTGTAAATATGCTACACACAAAGAGAGTTCTCTTTCTCTCCTGTCATCTGTGAAGTCCTACTACCAACGTGGGCAAGCTGTCCATGGATGTCTCTGAGACTTTGGGACCTTTGCATTATCCACCCAATTAAAGACACACACAAAACCACAACTTGTGCAACAACAACAAAACCACAAACAAAATGACAAAAAATGCCACAGAAGACTAATCCAAAAGCTAGCTGATGAGGAGTCAGTAGTTTATTCACTAAGTGTTAAGGAAAGCTGTATTAAGATACTTTTGCAAAAATAGTTTCTAAATTCTGAAATAATGGTAGATTTGACCTTTTGCTGTTTTCTGTTATAAGCAAATCGTGGTCTGAATTCTTTGGATTTGAATTTTTTCATAGTTTGACCTGGCCCATATTTGAGGAGAATTCTTCAGAAATTTAACTATAAGAAGCCAATAGATGTAATTTAAAGAGTTACAATGTTCAAGCATTCACTCTTACTTTCCTTGTTCTGCACATATGCTTCAGATGCCTCAGAAATTTAACTATAAGAAGCCAATAAATGTAATTTAAAGAGTTACAATGTTTAAGCATTCACTCTTACTTTCCCTGTTCTGCACATATGCTTCAGATGCAATTTGCTTACCTAAACATGATAAGAATAGGAAATTTTGTTAATGAATTTCTCAAATTTAAAATGATGCAGATTATTAATCAGCATTTTAAGTACAAAAGTATCCTCATGAGGTCTTTATCAAGTAGATAAATGCAGTTCTCTCCACTTTACAGACAGAAGGTGCTATCCAGATTGCAAACAATACAATAGGTTGTCTAGTGTTTTTTTAATAATCTTGTCATCATGAAGACATTTTGACACACAGAATCCCTTCCCAATGTTTGTTTCTATTTTAAATTGATGCATGCATCGATATGTTGTATTTTTTTGCTAAAATTAAGTATTAAGATTCACTCACAATGACTTTTTAGTAGGGTGTTACTTTTTTTTTTAAAGAATAAACATTGTATAAAAGTCTGATCTTGTGTTTTATGTGTAGGTATTGGGCTAGGATCTTGTTCATTAAAAATGACATGTCTGGTTTTGATTTCTGACAGTAGTAAGAAAACTCAACTTGGAAGTCATGCACTTCTGACTAAAACGGGTGCACAGGTTAAAAACAAGAGCAAACCATCATGTGCCTCACGATTCCCCAATCCTTTGGACCAAACTTGCATTCATCCAGAGTCATACAACATTGCAATGAGGTAAGCAGTGGGGAAGCTTTGGAACTATTGACACTGTCAATTTTTACAGTCAAAGTACTGATTCTTCTGACAACAGCCTGCTCAGCATTTTGAGACAGGAATGTTTTTATTAGGTGCTTTCTCCCCTTTCTTCAAGAAAAATAATGTGTTTCAGAATTCAGAAGTTCTTTGCAGGTGCAGGGTTTCAATGGGTATGTTTTGCCTCTTATGCATATGCAAGTTTTTAGTTTTATTGATTTTTTTTGTTTTGTTTTGTTTTCACATTGTTTTCCAGCCAGGAAATTGCTGAATTTTCAAAACTTTGCCAGACTTTCATCCTACCACCCAGTCTTCTTCATATCACTATTTTGTGCCTCATTGAAGCTACTTTTCTCAATTTTCTCCTAATTGTCAGCTCTCTTTATGCCACGCCACACAGTTTGAACTTTTTGTTTATGAAGTGTGGAGATAAATAATTTGTTCTAAAAATGTCTAAAACCAGATTTTTTTAATTCTTCTTTGCCTCATATATTATGTAAAAGGCCATAACTAAACCATAATTTTCTTTGTTCTTAAGAATAATATAAATGAAATGCCATGCAAGTTTTCAGTCAGCAATAGTGTAATACCTCTGCATTGTTAAGAACTGCTTTTACATTGTTGTTCATGTTCAGTATGTTCCAAACAAATTTTCTGCTTAAGTGATTTTTGACCACCAGAATTTATCTGAGTGTGCACACAAGTGCACAGACATATGTGAGTGTGCCATTATTAGCTTTTAAAATTAAATTCTGATATTGCAAGATCTAATTAAGATGTATGTATTAAGTTCCCAAGCACATGAACACCATTGTGGTTTTACTAAGTGACCTTTGGCTAAAAGAAGAGAATGGTTTTAGTGTAAGTCAGAAAAAAGTAATTTGGAATCCATGTGTGCCTTTAGTTAGGGAATACTACAGCTGGTAAATGCTAGTGTGAGCTGTGATCTTTCCTATCATCAGCGGTTGAAATTGGACTATGTGTCCCCTCTTGAGAAAACAGTATCTCCTACCATAAACCAGCACACGTTTATTTTTTAAGTGATTTGTGGTGAACAGTTTTCTTTCTTAAAAAAAGCAGCTATATGCTTTAGGACTCTTGCAGTCTCTGTTGAGAATATTATTTCTGGAGAAGGTTTTGTTTATGAAACAGGAAGCACAACTCTATCTTCAAAGAGAGATGCTACATTTCTGAATTCATGAACTTTGAGTTTCTTATCTAAAAAAAGTCTTAGGGGGCCATGGTTCTGGGGACACCTCTCCTACAGTGTGTGCTCTGTTCTCTCTCCAGTCGAGGTGTATGCACAGAAGTTGTACATGGAATTATCTGCAGGCTTTCCTTCTGCTAGGCTTCCAGTGTACTTTTGTTTCCATTTCTCCCTACTACAATTCATTCTTCGTTGTGCCTGATTCTAGGGCCACCATGCAACTGCCTATTAATCTATGCTCTTTTTACAGTTTGTAGGTAACTTTGGTTTCTTGTCATCCACATTTCCTTTTTTTTTTCTTATCCATCTGCATTTGTTACTAGTTCTCTGCCCTGTGCATAACAGTGGGAAAAAATCAGGCAAAGTCCTCATATTAGTAATCTTGCATTTAAAGGTGACTTTTGTAGGGTGAGGAAACTTGGTCACCCCTACTGGAAATTATTCAGAGTGAGTCAATGTAGGAAAAAAGGTTTTCAAAATTAATGTTGATTTTTTCCATATCGTATTTCATTCAGATGAAATATCAAGTAGTCAGAATTTGGTTGATAGTCCATTTAGCTTTCCAACCCTACTGTACTAGTAAAATAAAGCATTCAGTAAAAGTATTCACAGTGTTACTAGCTTCACTTAAAAGCTGGTGTGGAAAGATTGCTTTGGGCCGCAGAAAAGTGTAGCCAGTTAATGGTGGAACACTACAAGAATTTCCCTA